TGGGTGCCCTGATTGGACCCACAACATAAATTATTTACTGATTGCCCTTTTATTTTATTCATTAAATCACTGTTGATACCATCAGAGTATATTTATACTCTAATAGTATATATACTTTGATGATATCAAACAATAATTAAAAAATCTTTTCATCGAAATATTGCATGTTCCTTCTTGATGTAGACTCTAATGGTATGAAGGAGTAACTGAGTAGTGTTTTCACTAAAGCACTACCTCTCCTTCTTGATGTATACTCTAATGGTATCAAAGAGTAACTGAGTAATGTTTTCACTAAAGCACTACCTCTTCCTCTTTAATATCAGATGGTATTGAACACTAAATGCACATTAGTAGTTAAACACATAGAGTATGAAACTAAGGAGTAACAACTTGTAAATAGTTTTAATTTGCTTATTAGGATACAACGTTCTTTTCCCAAAAAAGAAAGAGGATTGGGACATATGAAGTCAAACATACTCCTTCTATTTTAAAATAAGTGAATTATTAAGTCATTTTTCATAATTCAAAATAAGTGAATTGTTCAAAGTTTAAGAGAGTTGTTGGAATTCATGTTTACCATTTTTGCTCCTCATTAATTTCGAGAGAGTTAATTGCTTTTTAGAATTTTACTTTGAAGTATTTATCTTTTTTTTGAAGAATAGTTTCCGAATATCTAAAAGGGTAAAAAGTAAAAAGTGATGTTCATTTTATTGTCCTAAGTTTTTTCTCTTGACGAGTAAGTAATGTCCTGATTTTTTTAAAAAAAATTACTAGTTCAAACCATTTAATTAGCAATAAACTAAAACTGGAATAGTTTAGACGATGCATGCATGAATTAATTACCAGACGAAGGTGTTCGATTTGATTTCTATCCATAGCAATGTTGCCATTGCCATCGTTTTCTTCACTCATATTTAGCAAAATATCCAAAACGTCTTTGATTTTCTGGTTCTTTTTCCTTTGCTCCAACCTTTCATCAATAAAATCCCCAAAAATCCGAAACATTTTAGCAAAACCAGCGCAAGTGCTTCGATTAATCCCTTGAGGATCGATCCATTTCAGCACAGGGAAGTAATCCACCATGTTAAACTTTCCGATCTGGAACGTAATACTCCGGATCACATCCTTAAATTTCTTCGCCGATTTCTCAGTCAAATCCACTAAATCCGTGGAAAAAATTGTATTCGATAAAACATTAATCGCGATATCAGAAGCAACTATACCAAAATCCACGGCATCACCAGTTTGGCTACATCGATGACAGTAAGCAATAAGCTCTGAGATCTTCGTAGATCGGATATTCTGGTTCGCGTCGAGCTTGTTTGCAGAGAAGATACACGAATTCAATATCGTCCGGAGACTTTTCCGGCGACTGCTGTCGATCGGTAGCCATACGATGGAGAATTTATGGTGGTTATGAGCTTCGACTGCATCTTTGGGTGTTTTACTAGAAAAGGCGGAATCGTGTTTTTTGACGGCTTCTTTAGCCACGGCTGATGAAGATATAACGACGGTGGGTAATCGGCCCAATTTGAGGCTTATTATTGGGCCGTATTTGTTAGCAAGCCGCTCCATCGACTTATGGGGCGGAGCACCGAATATGTTGCGGAGATTTCCGATTAAAGGTAGAGGGATTGGTCCTGGTGGAAGTTTCTTCTTATTGCGACCATGGATCGAAGTCCATGCAAGTAATAATAATCCACATGTAATGCCTATGTAATTCATATCAATTGACATCATATCATAAAAAAAATACCTTGATGTGCTCAGAAATGCTTTGTGTACTTTATATATATAGAGAGATGTTTTTTTGCACTTGACGACTTTTTTTTTTCTAGTAGACACTCCAATATATATAAACATGTATAAACACTCGAAAAATGCAATATGACAATTAAAAATAGAGTGAGAGAGAGAGTAGGTTTTAAACAAATTACGCTTCTTAATTAGGTAGACTAGGGATCAAAACTTGCATAAGCCTTGTAGTGTGTAAAAATATTTAGTCCCTAAACTAGTTTCGAATCGGGTTAATTAGATGATTCTTTTTAATTGAATTTGAATTTATTCAATTAAAAATAAAAAATAAAAAAGTAAAAGGTTATTAACCATCAAATTTGGATTTGGATTGGGTGAGGTAAGGTCAGTTTGTTTAATTGAATTTGTATTATTAGATATTTAAAAAATTACCTACTTCAAGTTAAATTTTTCGGTATGTGATTTTTATGGTAGTAGGTATAAAGCTTTGTGATTTTTATGTTAGAAAATGTAGTTAAATAACTTTGATGAATGATAAAAAAAATAATTATAATTATGTGTTGCTGTTGTAGTTAGAGTTCGAAGCCAAAAGGGTCATTTTTTTCCTTCAGAAAATAAAAATGGCACATTAAAAATTTTTTTAACCAAAAGGACAAAATCGCGATGGAGCGATTTTCTGACAAAAATTGACATTGTTCCATTAAAAGAAATAAAAATCGCTGCTAAGGCAGCGATATTTTCAAACAAAATAATTTCATTATTTCTTTAAAATCGCTGCAAGGGTAAAGATTTAATTTTAATTTTTTTTTCATTAAAATCGCTGAAAGGGTAAAGATTTTTTTTTTAAAAAGAAGCTTTTTATGAAAATCGCTGCCTTCAGTTTTAATTTTTATTAAATTCGTGCAAGGGTAAATTAATTTCTTAAACAAAATATAGCAACGATTTTAAAGAAAAAAAGAAAAATTATTTTTGAGAAAATCGTTGCGTTTCGCAGTGATTTTTATTTCTTTTAACGGAACGGCAGAGCAAAATCGCTCCGATTTTGCCCTTTTGGTTAAAATTATTTTTGATGTGCCGTTTTTGTTTTTTGAAGAAATTTTTTTGTCCTTTTTGACTCCGGACTCGTTGTAGTTAGTATCTTGTATATTTGATCCTTACTTCCCAATTCCCTTTCTAAAGTTCCCCACAAACTTTCAAAACATTTGTCGAATGATAGATAATATCAAGCCTAAACTTGACATCAACCATGTCATATGGAGTAAACCTAACCAAGCCTAACCATGGAGAATTCAAGCTTAATATTGACGATTTCTCTAAAGATAATCCTGAAATTAGTGCCCGTGGTGGAGGTATTCTAAGAAATCGTATGGGCCATATATATGATCATGACTTTATTCACAATATATTTTGATCATTTTCTTCTAATAACTTGTCTGAGGCTCGGGCTATCAAGAAGATTGGATGGAGATGGAGTATTGATCACAATTTCAATGCTCTTGCTATACAATTTGACTCCTTGATCAACAGAACCACAACTATAGCTTGGAGCTTTAAGGAGGAAATTAATGGCATCCATAATATGATTTCTGAGAAACTTCATATGCATATGCTTTTATTTTGCAATATAACAACCGGCTCTACTTTATTACATAAGTTTTCACCAATATATAGTCCTATTACCTATAGTGAAATTGGGACAAGTCGTAGAGGACGTAATTTGCCTAATATAAGGCCACTTTTCTCTTCCGCATCCAAATCATCGTCTCCTTCAGCTACCCAATCAAATGAATTCAACAACGAACCTAACATAGTGGTAAGGGTCCTCATAGCTAAAGATGTCGCAGGACACATTCTTCTACCAACACCAAAGGGAATGAGCTTAAAATCATCTTGACCACGAATATCCATATTATTCAAACCCCAAAACCTTTCAGGTTTAAACACCAAAGGATCCTCCCAAATAACAGGGTCCCGACCAATTGACCATATGTTCACTATCACTTGTGAACCCTTTGAGACAAAGTAGCCACAAAGTTCAAAGTCTTGCTCTGCCTTGCGAGACAAAAGAGGAACAGGCGGATGTATCCGCAAGGTCTCTTTCAAAATGCAGTGCAAATAAGGAAGCCGAACAAGATCAGCTTCCTTTATCTCCTTTTTATTGCCAACAACTTGCGCCAGTTCCGCTTTAGCCTTTTCCATTGCGTGTGGGTTCTTCATCAGCTCTAGCATTGCCCATTCTAACGTAATGGAACTTGAATCAGTTCCTGCAATAAAAAGATCCTGTAGTATATGTGTAGATTATATTAATTTTCGACTTGAATGACTTTTTGGAAAAAATATTAAAAATATGTTTACCAGAAAAAGGTGTTCGATTTGATTTCTATCCATTGCAGTCTTATTATTATTGACATCTTTTTCTTCGCTCATATTTAACAAAATATCCAAAACGTCTTCGGTTTTCTTCTGCAACTTGTTTTCCCTTTGCTTCAATCTTTCCTCAATAAAACCCCGAAAAATTTGAAACATTTTATCAACACTGTCACAATTGCTTCTTTTTATCCCTTGAGGATCGATCGATTTCAGCACAGGGAAGTAATCCACCATGTTAAACTTTCCGATCTGGTACGTAACGCTCCGGATCACATCCTTGAATTTCTTCTCCGATTTCTCACACAAATCCACAAAATCAGCGGAGAAAATCGCATTCGATAAAACATTTATCGCGATATCAGAAGCGGCTAAACCAAAATCCACGGCCTCACCGGTTTGGCTGCACCGATGACAGTAAGCAATAAGCTCTGAGATCTTCGTGGACCGGAGATTCTGGTTCGCATCGAGCTTCTTCGTCGAGAAAATACACGAATTCACTACTGCCCGGAGATTTTTCCGGCGAATGCTGTCGACCGGTAGCCATACGACGGAGAGTTTATGGTGGTTATGGGCTTCGACTGCATCTTTGGGTGTTTTACTGGAAAAGGCTGAGTCGTGTTTTTTGACGGCTTCTTTAACCACGGCTGATGAAGATATAACTACGGTGGGTAATCGGCTCAATTTGAGGCTCATTATTGGGCCGTATTTGTTAGCAAGCCGTTCTATCGACTTATGGGGTGGAGCACCGAATAAGTTGTGGAGATTTCCGATTAAAGGTAGAGGCATTGGTCCTGGTGGAAGTTTCTTCTTGTTTCGACCATGGATCAAATTCCATGCAAGTAATAATCCACAAATAATGCCTATGTAGTACATGTGGATCGTCATAAAAAAATATAGCTCAAGGTGCTCAGAAATGCTCTGTGTACTTTATATATTTTGACATTCAAATTTTAGCTCCGCCACTGAAAGTATCTTTTTTTTCCTATTAGATACTCCAGTATATATAAATATGTACCTATTAAACATTTCGTGCCATATAACATAGAAAATGATATGTACTTTAATAGGCACGCACTTAATTTGTTAACATTGGAGTGTCTAATACGAGAAAAAAAGAGAGTCTATTGTTTATTTATTCAACATATTACTAGGCCTTCCTAACATGTAAGATAGTAAACAAATCACGTTTCTTAATTAGGTAGACTAGGGATCAAAACTTGGATAGGCTAGTAGTGTGTAAGAATATTTATATTCGATTAAAAATAAAAAATAAAAAATAAAAGTAAAAGAGTATTAACCATCACTTTTGGATTTGGATTTGGATTTGGATTTGGTCAGGTAAGGTCAGTTTGTTTAATTGAATTTGACTTATTAGATATTTAAAAAATGACCTATTGGAAGTAAAAAATTTTGTGGTATATGTGATTCTTATGTTTGTAAAGGAGCAAAGCTTGTGATTTTTATGTTAGAAAATATAGTTAAATAACATCGATCAAAAAAATTATAATTAATGTGATCATGTATGAAATTTTATATTGTTGTTGTAGTTAGTATCTTGCATATTTGTGTTCGAAGAAGAAGAGCAAAACAAACGAAGCATGCTCAAAAGTAAACCAACCCTTTGGACTGCTACAAAAAACACATCATAATAATAAAGACATTTTTCGTACACATAAATCTTTGAACTCCAATATGCATTGTGATTTTAAGACTCATAAATTCCTTGTCATGTAACAGAGAATAACTATCAGACACCATTGATTGATATGAGATACACGTGCACCAGGACTCGGTGTTTAGTTGATATATGAAAAGAAAATAGACTATTATTACAATCAAAGGCAGCTAAGCTATGCAAAATATTGTAACAAACCAAAAGAGGAGAAAACAGAACAGGAAGTATAACTTATAGTCATCACTCAGAAATTCGCGGGCTAGCTCACTCTCACACACTTTTTTCAGTATCTTACAGACTATACATGGTCATAACACTCCATTGTGATGAACAATGCCACATGAAAATATGTTTAATATGGTGAAAAAATCAATCAATCGAAAAAAGAAATAAATCGAAAACATAACACAAATATCTTGTTGAGTCTGTTCAATAATGTGTGGCTGCTGTGCAACATATGCAAGTGGTGAAGAAAGATGGTCTAGGCTTGCGTTTTCCGCTCCCTTTTGGTGAAGTTAGACAAGTTTCCTTTTCTTGTGATGCATGAAAGTCCTCTCTTTTTGTAACAGCAACATGATTCTGTTGTGTTTCAGATGTCACCTTCAGATCGCCGTTTTCTCCTTTGTTTGACAAGCCTAAAAGAGGAGTACTGGAAATGTCTGAATCACTTCTTTCTACTCGAATAGTCTTTTCTTCGGCTGTCACTGCCTCGTAGTCTAGTGAGTTTCGGTTGTATCCAGTTCTCGTGATTGAGTTTGAGAATTTTGCATTGGAGCCAACTGATAAACTTCTTGTAGGAGTCTTTTCAGGACAGAGAAGTGGAGTTTGATCTGATTCTGAAGATCTTCTGTGAACACCAAAATCGAAGCTTGGAGACTTTCGAAGCTCATTTCCATTGCTTGATTTCTCTGGGATCATTTCGAGACTTAACCTTCCAATACTCTCTGGTGCTTTGGAAGGAGTTTCATATTGAAAATTTGGCACCTTTTGATCAAAAGCACATTTTTCATTGGAAAAAGCTAATGCTTCAAGACTTGTCTGAACATTCTGTGCATTTACTGTCTCTTTTTCTGATATATTGAGTTCAAAAACACCAGAGTCCTCAGTGACAATAAATTCACAGTTATCATGTTCTGTCAAGTCTGCGTTGCGTTCTTTCTGATCTTCAACAGACTCAAACCCCTGCACTCTTCCATCTCCATATGCTATATTGATGCCATTTTCCGGTTTTGATGGCCCCAAATGCAATATGCACTCCTCCCTTATTTCCTCTCTACTAGGCTTCTCAACTTCAACCTTTTCTTTTTCAAGAAAACCATTTTCTTCTGTAGTTGTTACAATGAATTTGGTAGGGAGTACTCCAATTTCAGGCACCATTTCAAATGTTTCTTCAAAATTCACATGTTGTTCTTCTGGTGGCGCGTGATCATGATAAAGAATATCAGGTTGAACATTTATGTCGCCCCTCGTCTTATCCTCCTCAATTGAGTAATCCATGACACTATCAGTGTTAGTGTTGTTTCCTGATAGTTTTTCCTCTGTAATCTCTATGGGATGTGATTCGACTGAAGGAGCTGAATTGTCATTCTGCATTTCATGCACTTCCTGCATAAATGACTCAGTTCCCTTCGGATCACATTTATTTACCACGTTTTCTGATTCACTTGATGTCAATTCAGTCTCTGGTGTATGAATCATGGATTTGTCTTGTGGCTCAACAACTGATGCAAATGAACTCGATGGAGTAATCCGTGGACTATCTGCCAACAGTGAGCCTGTAGCATCACTTGGACTGGACTCCACTTTAGGAGTTTCATCCAAATCAACCTGATTTTCTGCACTCGTATTCTCATGTTTCTCCTCATTTGATATATCTCCTGTGGCATCCAGTTCTCCCACCAAGCATTCATCTTGTTGAGTGATAACGTTTTGATCATTGCCATCAGCAACAATAGTCTTATCAGCAAGTGAAATTTCAGAGCTGATCAACTGAGTTTTATCCTGATTCTGTCCTGATCTTCCCTTCTCTGGAGTTTCTTGTTCCTCACTTGGCGATGAATTGAAGTGTTCTTCTACTGTATCAGTAGCAACACTCGAGGATTCAACTGGATCGAACTTCAACACTTCATCATTTGATAAACTTCCTTCTGCCTCACCTGATATAAGCTTTTACCAATTAGAAAGAAACTCAAAAAGGTTTCATTTCTTTCTTACTTATCTATTGATGTCTACATGACTATTCCATTATCAAAACATAAGTTACAATCATAAACTTAACGCCTGCTTGCTATTATACAAGCAGCTTGAATATAGAGACCAGTATAATTAGGTCTACGATGACAAAACGATTCTGACCTTTCTTGTTACATGTTTGGTCATGAACTTCATCATTTTCCTCCAGAAGTTGATCAACTTTTTGCCCATATTGAGAAGTATGTGTATCAGTATTAGTGACTTCACTCGATATGTCATTAGCATCTGTTTGAACTTCAGAACATTGATAAAGCTGCTTAATTTGTGTCTCTCCCTTATCTTCATCTGCATAAGAAATTCGATTCAAAAGCCAACTACCATAAAAGCAGATAGTACTAATGAAGAAAAGCTAATTCCAAATCAAGAAAACAGTATCGAAAAAAACCTGTTTTGTCATCTTCAAAGTTCTTAAGCTGAGGTTCTTTATCTGTTGAAGTGTCAAAAGTAGGCAAAGCTGCATCTTTCTCATGATAATCCTTACTTTCACCTTCAGGAGTTATGTTGTTTTCTTCTTTAACACCATCTACATTGCCAGTAGCTTCGCCTCTTTGTTGAACGTCAACTGCAGCATTCTCTGCTCAACATAAATCAATAAACACCTCAAACAAACAGAATCTTGATATTCTAAATGAAAAAGAAACAATCTTGAACTTGAATAAATCATCAAACACATCAAACAAACAGATTCTTGAAACTCTAAAATAACAAAAAGCCAATCTTGAACTGTAATCAATCATCAAACACATCAAACAAACAGAATCTAGAAATTTTAATCGAAAAAGAAACAATCTTGACCTTCAATCAATCATTAAACACATCAAACAAACAGAATCTTGAACTATAGAGTTGTTGTGTTTTACCTTGATTATCTACTGATGAATTTGTGTTCCCCATCTCATTTACCATACTCTAACTAACTAGCCAAATCCTGCAATAAAACAGTGTTTTAATTATACTCTAAGACAAGTCTCAAAGATTATACTATGATTAAAATTAAAAAAATTAGGGGTCCAAAAAACATTAATACCATGATGATGATGACAACAGTGATATTCACATGCTAATAGGTAATATTAGAGAGGGCAGCTTAGACTTTTTTAAACATGCCAGTGTGTTAATAGTTGATTAGTGTGGACTCCTCCATTAATATTTGCTTCAACAATAAGCCTTTAACAAAGATGAGCCACAAAAACAAAAAAATAAAACAAGAAAGCAATTTTTGACTTAAAAAAGGGAACATTTTAACTAAAGAATGTTCTCTTATGGGGACACAAGATGCTTCATTTACTAATTTTTTTAGCCTGTCTTCTTTTTCAAAGTAAAGTTTTTTATTAATTTGCATTTTTATCTTAAATATAGAGTTTGACAATTTAATATTAGTACCTATGCCAAACCAAGTACAAAATTGCATTATGCGGCTTGATGCTTGGGTTTTATGGGACACTAGCTTATTTGTTAGTTAATATTACATCAAAACATCACATTCCTTGTGTTATTAATGTTTTGTTCTGGCATGATCATTAAACATAAACAAAGTAATATATTCATGTAATGATATATGTTATTCTACTGTGTTTCAATTTATTTGTCCTACTTTTCTTTTTAGTCCGTTTCAAAAAGAATGTCTCTGTTCTTTTTTGTCAACTTCCATCTTTCCACATGACATGTTTAAGACCTTAAGATTAAAGAGCATTTAGACACATTTGGCATATCTTTAATTTAAGACCAAAAAATCCAAAAAAACTCTTTACTTTGTTAGTCAAAGTTTGACAATGTGATAAATAAGGTTTTCAAAACATTAGTAAGATCCAAGACAGCTTACATTCCTACATTAAGATGGCAAATCTAAGGTGGATTCTCCGAGTTCAACTGAACATATTGCTTTTGACTAAAAATATGTCTAAATATGTCCAAATAAAAACTAGAACATTTACCTATAATAAGATTACACTCATTCTGAATCCATTTACTCGGAATGATCATATGTCCCTCTCCTTTCTTACAGCACATTGAAGGACC